CAGTCGGGCAGCAAAAGGTCAACGAATGCTGCGCTGCGCCGCGAGGCGCCACGAACGGGCACCGCGACGCTCAGCCAAACGCGCTACACCGGCGGGGCGGGGGCAGGCTGGGGCAGGCGGAACGGTACGGGCTCTAGAGAGCTGCGCCAGCGCTGATCTCAGCTGCACCGCACCGCACAGCGCCGCCACGGACAAGCGGAAGGTGAGGAGGAGGAGCCGACCGCGACTTTGTTGTGTTATTAAACTCAATTAAACTTAATTAATCGGGCAAATGTTTTCGTAACGACGTTGCTGCCGGCCAATGTCGGTTGGTTTCGCAGTGAGATAGCCTGTAAGCCCCCCCCCCCCAAAAAAAACAAGTACTTATACGCCATTATATCTTTGTTAACATAACGAAGCGGAGCTAGCTGAATAACCATCACTCAAAGTTCATAAAAGAGCGCAACGACCGATGCGTAAATTAGAATTTGTTTGACATCGAGGCACAGCCGTCCGGTACGCTTTTAAAATAAAGAGAGAGGGGGTGGGGTACGTGTAGGTAGGTGCACGAGCAGCCAAATAGGTGTGGCGCACATAAACGCGCCGAGGCAATCCATTGGCAGAGAGAACGAGATCAGAACAAAGCATCGCGGACATGCCAAGCCAAGCCAAGCCCGGCAGCGAGTCGAGTGGGCCGCACACGTGCGAGTCACGTGGGGGCGGCCGGAGGGGGGGAGGAGGGGGCACGGCCAAAAACAACGCGATCATACCACGCAGCCCGCCACGCGCCCCGCCACGCCACGCCGGTCAAGGGAATTCCGCATAGCTCGTCGCGGCGCAACCTTACCGCGCGCTACCCGAGTAGTCTAGTCGGGCGCGGCGGGCGGGCGGGCGATGCGTGCAAACCGCGACATCGCAAAAGACATCGCAGCAAAGCAGTCGCGAGACCGGCCGAGGTCAGCGCCGCCGCCACCACCACGGCCGCCGCGCAGCAAGAGCGTCGTCGTCGTCGTCGTCGGGGGACGGGACGGGACGGGCGAAGAGGATCCTGACCGCATAAATCGAGCCAACGCCAGAAATATACGCCACTCCGCGCCACTCCGCGCCACGCGTCACCGCCGTGGTCACCACGACGACGGCGGCGGTGGTCCGCCCGCCCGCCCCCCTTATTTATGTACCGGGCGATATCATTATAATGTCGGCGGGTCGGAGTGTGTGGGTCACATCAACACGACGGGCGTAAACAGAACAGAGACAAAGCCACACGGAGCCACACAAGACTCGACGACGTCGCCGCAATAACGCAAGTCATCACGCCGATGGGAGGCGGCGAATACGGAGCAAACTCGTTTACCCAGCCGCCGTCGATCTGGAATATTATCGTGTTTTGCCCCCGCACTCCCCGTGACCGCGCGCGGGGCCCGTGGCGCCCGGCGGCGGGGCCCGACATGACACGGCGGCGCGATGCGTTTGTCGTGTCGCTATCGCCCTGCTGTCCACGTGCAGGGCGGGCAGGTCGGCCAGACATAAGAGGAAGGGGGGGGGGGCTCGACCGGCACTGCTCACGGCGCGCCATCGATCGGCCATCAGGTAATCTGCCGCAGCCAGCGAGTGACGCCAGCGTCAGCGTCAGGCCGCTCCTCTCCGCGTGTCACACACGGTGGTGTGTTGCGGCGATGTGATTCGCGAGCCCCGTGAGGGGGTGAGAGGGGGAGGGGGGCATTGGAATATT